AAGGACATTGACCTAGTCCCTACACAGGGTCCCAAGGAGATTGACCTGGTCCCTACACAGGGTCCCAATGTCATTGACCTAGTCCCTACACAGGGTCCCAAGGACATTGACCTAGTCCCTACACAGGATCCCAAAGGACATTGACCTAGTCCCTACACAAGGTCCAAAGGACATTGACCTAGTCTCTACACAGGGTCCCAAGGACATTGAACTAGTCCCTACACAGGGTCCCAAGGACATTGACCTAGTCCCTACCCAGGGTCCCAAGGACATTGACCTAGTCTCTACACAGTGTCCCAAGGACATTGAACTAGTCCCTACACAGGGTCCTAAGGACATTGACCTAGTCCCTACACAGGGTCCCAAGGACATTGAACTAGTCCCTAGACAGGGTCCCGAGGACACTGACCTAGTCCCTACACAGGGTCCCGAGGACATTGACCTAGTCCCTAAACAGGGTTCCAAGTACATTGACCTAGCCCCTACACAGGGTCCCAAGGACACTGACCTAGTCCCTACACAGGGTCCCAAGGACATTGACCTAGTCCCTACACAGGGTCCCAAGGATCGTAATGATTTTTCCCCTGAAGTAGTCTCATCGGCACTCGATCGATATTCAAAACATACAGGTGTTTTTTTCTCTTGTGAAGTCTCCGACGTTGTCCTCATCGAGACGCGTTGGATGATGTTTGACGAAGCCAGCCCGAACCTGCTGAGGAGTACTCTCATATCGTCTTACTATTCCCTTGATATGGCTAACGAGGGTTTCTTAATGCCCATCCTTTCGCAGTAACAAAATATAAATATCACCAACCCAAAATATGGATATGACAGCAGCGGTGATCGGTGACTTTCCCGATAAAAGTTCATCTCACTGAAAAGGCTTATAGTAAAGTTACGGTTCTGTTAAAGTATTCCTTGGTATTGTATGTGTCCGCGCTAGGATACCTGCACATGAGTGAAAGAGGCAATGCCTCGCAAAACGGTGTCGAAATTCCTACACTCGATACATTATCATAGGTTGTTATCAGCTTATCAAAAGGGTAAACACATGGTATTGACTTTCTTTATGATATAGTTTTTAATCAAATCGACCCGATTGGTGGGTTTATAAAATACTGTGTGACCATTAATAGTAACCCTATTATCATTTTTACGACGAACTATCGTAAATCGAAGCGATGTTTCGATGGCTACTAGGGCTATTATCCTTTCCATCAAATATTCTGCCTTCGTTAAAATTGTATTCATTTACCAATTATTCGACGAATTTTATTTATTTCGGTGGCGGTCTTTGTAAATAAAGATATCAGACATTGTTTTTGACAGATGAACTTAACATAGCCACACAGGTGATTGCACGTGATTTGGAAAATAGATACCACATGTCACACATGAATGACTCTACACCATACCGCTGTTTCGTCTTTCTATGACGCATCGGGGATGCTGGAGGCCGAGTAATGGAAATATCAATTGGTCAAACCAAATGTTGAAACAGAAGGGTATACTACAATACAATACAAGAATTAATACAAAGTGTCACCTCTTGTCGTTAAGTAAAATGTAAGGCGTCTGTTCGATGTTTAAAGTAAACAAATCTGATTCTAATTGATATCTGGCGACCTTAACCGAGATAGGTGAATCTGATTATTGTCCAACAGATCTGGTAAAGTAGTTTGTACACTCGATGTATGTCAAACCTGTCGTTAACATCTGATAGAGGGTTTCAAATAATCTCTAAAATTTTGACACTTCAATTAAAGAAGTACATACGAAAAAATTGTAACAATACCATAAATCTGCATTTAGGTGTTCATGGAGCCTCACCTGGCTAATTAGCTAGTACCGAGTAGATATTTGCTGTTAAATCCCTGTTGACAGTGTGCCTTATGATAAATGTCCCAATGATGACGTACATGTATTTAATTGTTATCTTAAGTGATCTAAATAAAACATAGCCTTCTGAATTATTTGTTTCATACCCTCAACTATCTTATCCGTTTGCGCAAATAATCGCACTGGGATCTGTACATTATTTTTTTTCTGTCTTTCAAACTTCAATTAAGTTTGTCAAATTGATTTCAACTGGTGAAACGATTAGTGCCAAATCGTTAATTGCCCGTCTATTTTCGGCTAATTCTACATGCGATAAATTTAATACAGTCATGCTTTCTTCCAGAGTAGGCGTGCTATGCTGTAGTTTTCCTATTTCCTTTAACAAAGCCTTCTTGTTCTTCCATAAAATTACCTAACACGGTGTTATGACTCGTCCAGAAAGTTTCTAACATACTTTTTATTCCGATAAAAACATATAGGTGCCAGTCGTATATGCGCCATGGTCTTTTCTATGGTAATATCGCCATTCAACTGTAACATAAACATTTTACATGGTAATAAATCTATTACAAAATGTAACATACCACCAAGACCAGGTACTTGAATAATCATTTACTTTATGAAAAATAATTCTGAACAGGTATAGTCCTGCTAAGCGTTATATCTATCCATTGTAAGATGTTTTTACTGGAATACATAATTATGATTGGTCGCCCGTTTGGTTAGACGGTTGGCTGCTCCTAGTAGACGTTGTAACTATAGAAACCTTTTCGGGGCCGTCTCCACTTGGTGTAAGTGTTACTATAGCAACTGGTAGTTTCTGTAACTTTTCTGGAAAACGTCGAATTAGATGATCCCGGTTGTTCTTTCCATTTTGTTTTGTGTTGTGTTGATTAATCCTGGTCTTTACGTCACCGAATAAACTTTGTCAAATCAAAGTTTCAAAAGTATCTTTAACTAAGAATGAGCACCGCGGTAACAATAAGACCAAACGTCCGAATAGTGACCCAGACTTGCCTAATTGTCGTACACATCTTACAGCCCGTATCACAGGTCGAGCTGCTGACCAAATATCATTAACTATTTTAGGGACACTGACCAACGTAAGACAATACAAATCTACGTGCGCAAAGCTTTGGACACATCATTAATTTACAAAAGCGATGTGCTGACCGCATCTCGTTGTTATATCCCAGGGATGTTGACCTTTTATCGTCAAGCTCAGATGTACATGTATATCGTGTGTTAGATTACCTAGGTCTGTCAGTAGTTCTCCCTGGGTCAGGCTTAGAGTATATCGTGTGTTAGATTACCTTGGTCTGTCAATAGCTCTCCCTGGGTCAGGCTTAGAGTATATCGTGTGTTAGATTACCTTGGTCTGTCAATAGTTCTCCCTGGGTCAGGCTTAGAGTATATCGTGTATTAGATTACCTTGGTCTGTCAATAGCTCTCCCTGGGTCAGGCTTAGAGTATATCGTGTGTTAGATTACCTAGGTCTGCCAGTAGTTCTCCCTGGGTCAGGATTAGAGTATATCGTTTTTTATATTACCTAGGTCTGTCAATAGCTCTCCCTGGGTCAGGCTCAGAGTATATCGTGTGTTAGATTACCTAGGTCTATCAGTAGTTCTCCCTGGGTCAGGCTTAGATTATATCGTGTGTTAGATTACCTAGGTCTGTCAGTAGTTCTCCCTAGGTCAGGCTTAGAGTATATCGTGTGTTAGATTACCTAGGTCTGTTAGTAGTTCTCCCTGGGTCAGGATTAGAGTATATCGTGTGTTAGATTACCTAGGTCTGTCAGTAGTTATCCGTGGGTCAGGCTTAGAGTATATCGTGTATTAGATTACCTTGGTCTGTCAGTAGTTATCCGTGGGTCAGGCTTAGAGTATATCGTGTGTAAGATTACCTAGATTTGTCAGTAGCTCTCTCTGGGTCAGGCTTTTATAAGAAGTAGCATCAGTCAGCTGTACCTTTGAGTCCAACATTATAGATACGGCCATCATTTAAAAATGAAATATACAAATCAGTTAACTCATTAACTTTTCAACATGCCTTTTTTACATTTAATAGCTAGCTAAAACATGTTAAAAATGGAATTATCAAAGTAAACTACCCCCTTTAGTAAAGTTTAAGATATCTCAACTCTTTCTTATTTATTTTAAAGCTATACAAATTTTACAAAATGTTTAAAAATTTACAAAATCCGATGACATTGACAACCGAGTATATTAAAATCCTTGCAATTAATAAAATTGTTTGACTGGCTGAAAATGATGAATTTTTGCGAGAAACGTCTGCAAAAAGTCGAAAACTTTCAGACAATTCTAATAACATATTAGCTAAGTATACGTACTGTATTGTAAAAGAGCAAAGTGATTGGACATCAATTTCTTTTATTGCAACTAACTCTCACACGGCTGTCCTCTCCACAGACCTAGTGACGAGGAGGGCGAATTAACGGATGCTAGAATTGTATTGGTTGTTATTGTAAATACAAACGCATGGCGATCCTCAGTAGCTTGGTCACGTGTACTCGCGACCATCACTCTTCATTGAGTCACACCACCATCAATGATCGACAACGTGAGTTGTGTTACTTTCCTATTTCAGTGATCATTTTTACTGAAGTGGAACCTAGAAAGACGTTTAACAGTGCGTTCCTCGTAAGAAGTCAATATTCACTGCGTCATTTGTTCACGCTTATTATCTGTCAAAAGTTATCTTGTTAAGAATAGAATATCGGAAAATCAATCACTCAGAAGCTCCCGAAATTCCGCAATCTGAACTCATTCATAAAAATCGCCAGAGCTTCATGAATGAAACCATAGGAACAGCAACACCACGTGCTCGATACGGGTCGGGCATAGCTGTCGTATATAGACGTCCTGTGCTAGAGCGTTTTAACGCATTTCCTCGGATTCTCAACAGAAATGTCAAACACAACGGGTGGTTCATACCTTTCTACTTATAACTTTGATTTCACGACTCAAAATACAATCAGTGAGTTAAGTACAGGAAGTGTAGTGAGTACCGATGGTCAGTTCATGATGACCAATGCCAACCGGACTCTGATGATGGTCCCTGTCCATACTCCTACCTACATTTACGTGTGGATTTCGGTTGTAAATGTGGCTATTTTTCTGGCCGGGTTCCTTGGGAACATAATGGTCATTATTGCCGTGGCTAAAGTAAAGAACATGCGGACTCCAACCAATTTTTGTCTGGTCAACCTCAGCATGGCCGATGTTCTGGTTCTCGGAGTGTGTCAAACTTCTGCATTTCTTGAGTTTTTCGCTGAAGATAGGTGGCTTCTCGGAAATGTTTTGTGTGAGTATGAGTTTTATCACGATTAATAAGAAACACGTGTTGTTAAGTTTGTGTATCAGCAATCAATATTTTGAAGTTTTAAAGTTTCTCTTGGTATTTAAACTGAGTATAATTTCGGAAGATTCAGTTCTTAGTACATAATGTACGTCAGACTATACCGTTTACACTATTTCGACGTTTTAACATCAAATTTACACTACCTTAATTTGGCATTTAATTACTTTTCGAAATAAGACTGCAATATTACTGTTGATAACCTAGTGTTCGAACTGGCTCCGAATGATGCCATACCTCCTAAGATATCAACTTAACAGCAAACCTTTAGATAAATATATTATTTAAGAAAGGAGGTGCTGGACATCCTTTGCCAAAATAAATGATTAGATTTGTCGTGGTAGAAATATACATAAATACCTTTCTCGTAAAAAATTCAGGATGTGTATTTCTGAAAAAGAATTACTATCAATCACCAGATACCTTGAAATCTGCGCTATTTCAACAATAACGTCAATGTAAAGTTAATATTAAAATACAACCAATAGTGTTTTGTTGGGATAAGGAATAGGAATGATGAATTTGAAATGCTGTAATATGATGCCATTGTATTTGAAGCTGGAACTATTATTTCTAAAACAATGTGTCGCGGAAACAGAACAACCCTATCATATTAAGAGTAGTAAATGTTTGAATTGCGTGACGAAGATTTGCTGCCGGTAAAGGATGTTCCGTTTAGCTAATATTCAGCGCTGTATTGATGGACAAAGTCATTAACTTAATATAGTTTAAGAAGCAAAATGATATAAAGAAACACTTTCAGACTTACAAAAATGAATCGCAGTATACAAGATCACGTTTACATGGGTATTTTGTTCCAGAGGTTTTTTTAAGGAAAATGTCATTTTGAGAAAGAACCAAAGAAAAGTGTTGTATTAAAGCCCGGGTAACGTTTACAGGAAACCAGACGATACATATTCCCGATGTTTATTATGTCCGCTATCCCAGACCCTATACAATATACATAAGCGAGAGACCGAGGCTAGGAGACGATACTGACTCTCACTAATAACTAATAAATAATAATAATAATAATAATAATAATAATTGATATTATTTTTATTTTCTTATCTTTTATTTTTTATTCAATTCAAGTGTCACATATTGATCTACATATAAAACAGGTAGAATTTACATAAAATTAGATAAATATCCAGCCAAAGTTAATCGACTTATGAGACACTAAAAAGACAGAAAATATACATTAAAAACAGTTGTCAATTTAAAAAAAATCAATATTTGTCAGCTTATAATAGCTTATTATACATTATTACCAAACATTCCTGTCTATATACTGACTCGATACAAATAATGACGCGACAAGCTATAGAAAGGAGAGTGACATCACCAGCGTTGACAACGTTGTTTTGTAAACCTACTTTTATCTCAATCGGTTTAGTAACTCAGGAAAATGTAAGCGAAACATCTACGATTGGTCACACCAACCGTAAAACTACTGCAACTATTACTAACGAGGAAACTGATGTTTAGACCGAACATTTATATAAAAAAATGTAAATAAAGATATTTTGCGACTCTCCAAACCTAGAAACATTAGACCGGAACTGTAAAAATCAGCTGGATAGGTGCTCACAGTTTCAAGCTAATTATAAGACGTATGTCAAACTAAATTTAATGTTTTATTGCAAATTTTGAATGAAAACGTAGCTATTTCGCAAACACTTTTGCTTACCGTGCAAACTTTCGTAAATGTAAAGATAGACTGTAGAAATACATCTAGCTAAGCGGAAAATTCAACTAGGGATCTTATTATAACCATTTAGTTATTTGAAATTTCAATGATTTCTGTAATATTCTCTCTGCTTTGTATTACAATGAAACAAAATTAAGTGTTATAAGATTTCAAAATAAAAACTTTTCCTTCCACCCCTACCCCAGGGAACTAATAGGGGTTTGAGTAGCAAATGTCAGCTTCATAATCGGGAAAGACTGGTATGTTAACAGTGAGAAAAGAGGTTGGTATGTTACTAGAGAGAAGGAAGATTGGTATGTAACAGGTGAGAAGGAAGGTTGGTATGTAACAAGTGAGAAGGAATGGCTGGGATGTTACTAGTGAGACTGAGAGGCTGGTATGTTACAAGTGAGAAGTTACTAGTGAGATGGAGAAACTGAGAAGGAGAGACTGGTATGTTACTAATGAGATGGAGAAACTGGTATATTACAAGTGAGAAGGAGAGACTGGTATGTTACTAGTGAGACTGAGAGGCTGGTATGTTACAAGTGAGAAGGAGAGACTGGTATGTTATTAGTGAGATGGAGAAACTGGTATGTTACTAGTGAGAAGGAGAGACTGGTAAGTTACTAGTGAGATGGAGAAACTGGTATGTTTCTAGTAAGAAGGAGAAACTGGTATGTTACTAGTGAGAAGGAGAGAGTAGTATTTAACAAGTGAGAAGGAGAGACTGGTATGTTACTAATGAGATGGAGAAACTGGTATATTGCAAGTGAGAAGGAGAGACTGGTATGTTATTAGTGAGATGGAGAAACTGGTATGTTCCTAGTGAGAAGGAGAGACTGGTATGTTACTAATGAGATGGAGAAACTGGTATATTGCAAGTGAGAAGGAGAGACTGGTATGTTACAAGTGAGAAGGAGAGACTGGTATGTTACTAGTGAGATGGAGAAACTGGTATGTTACAAGTGAGAAAGAGAGACTGGTATGTTACAAGAGAGAAGGAGAGACTGGTATGTTACTAGTGAGAAGGAGAGATTAGTATGTAACAAGTGAGAAGGAGAGACTAGTATGTTACTAGTGAGATGGAGAAACTGGTATGTTACTAGTAAGAAGGAGAAACTGGTATGTTACTAGTGAGAAGGAGAGATTAGTATGTAACAAGTGAGAAGGAGATATAAGTATGTTACTAGTGAGAAGGAGAGACTGGTATGTTACTAGTAAGAAGGAGAAACTGGTATGTTACTAGTGAGAAGGAGAGACTGGTATGTTACAAGTGAGAAGGAGAAACTGGTATGTTACTAGTGAGAAGGAGAGATTAGTATTTAACAAGTGAGAAGGAGAGA